CTCATTTGTGAGCTTCAAGGGCCACAGAGTAATTGTTTAATGGCCTCTTAAGGCCCCAGGGCCTTATTTTGCCCAAGTATCTACTAAAGATAAAAAGTGAAAGGAGTGTGATAAAATGTACTAGAGATCAAAAACAACCTTTACAAACTATCATAGTCAGCACCTATTTTGTACAATTTTTCCTCAGAAGCATTGAGAGTCAGTTCAATCTGCCCCACAGAGTGACCCACATTTATTTACCATCAGAGGAGCAGACGATTGAATCATGGAGTCACTGAGGCACACAGTGTGACTCATCCGCCTGCAAACAAATCACTCATCAGCACTCCATTCATCAACCCCACCAGATAAAAGCACTTAAAAAGTCCTTTAAGATCACAGACTGTTGTACATTCGTAGCAACACAGATTACAAAAGTCTGTCACTCTGCGTGTAAACATCAGACAGGTGTCAGGAAACAGAAAAACACCAGAACTTRATTTTGAAACAGTTTGAACACCAAAACCAAAAGCAGTTTTTCCTTTTTCTTTGTTTCTTCAAARGCTTTGTGCTATTTTTTTCCCCTGTATTCTGAACTTTTAACTTTTGTTTTGAGGCGGTTTATATTCCTGTGTTGTGTTTTGCAGCGGTATGTTCAGACCCACTTAGGGARGACGCTCTGCTCAAGAATAAACGCTGTGAAGAGTCTCCAACTGCACTTTCTACACTCACTGCATGAACAACGGGAGCTTTGTTAAAAAAAATCCGTCATGCCCTGACACTCACTCAAGTACTGCACATCCTCAGCCGGGTAAAGAGAAATAAAAAAAGAAGAAAAACATGAGCGAGAAATGGACCAAGAAGTAATAATACACTTATATACAAGCCCTTATTCGGTAATCATAAAGCGTTTACCATGAACGATATTTCAGAGAAAGGAAACTTTCTCATGTATGTGAAATCCAGGTTTCATCATGGGCTTATGAGTTCATACTGACACACTTTCACCAAATAAAAAAATGCAGCGGGGGCTGGCAGCTCAACAGGGTGGATGGACTGGGGTCATTCGCTGGTGGAAAGGAATTTGGCTTTTCAGCATGTCCAGTGMTTCATATGATCTCTAAGAACAAACTACTGCATTTATCAAAGTATTTAAACACAAACTACACATTTTATCCACTGCAGCTGATAACATCTTAAGAAACTCAATCGCTTTAAACGCAAGTGTCATTTATTACCAGAATGYTTTTAGTGGACAGTAAAACATTAAGATTGTACCTTTTTTTAATCCATTGCTCTTATTCTGAAGCTGAATAATATGAAACAACATTTAACAAATAACTGGTGCAGTAATTCGTCAACAAAACTCAAGAAAGTATTCATGTTCGGCAGGATTTCATCACATCAACAGACAAAAACAGATGTCTCCAGATGTTTGTCAGCGTAAACGTCTGACCAATGGAGCAAGTGGAGCAACTAAACTCCCAGTTTTTAAAGTGAAGCTGCAAGCTTATGGATCTGCTTTTTTACTTTTTAAACTTAAAACATTTTCTCACTCACAGCAAGAAGACAAATGCATGTGGTCTTTAGCAGTTTTGAACTTCACTTTTTTTAGCTACAAACGAAACATAATTCATTAACAAACAGCTAGCTGCTAGGTCGCTAATCAGARAGCATTGAGGCATGTTAATGGAAAAGATAGCTACAGTTGCTTTTAATTGTCAAAGCTTGGTGTACTTCGATACGAGAAATAAGACTGTGGAACAATCTGGAGAGTGATGTCAAAAACGCCAGATCAATGTTTATGTTTAAGACAATGATAAAAGTCACTTTGTTAAAGAAATATGAAACAATAAAATCTGTATTCATACAAAATGTTGTTCAACAAGGATTAGAGGATGAAAGTTTAAAAAGCAAAGTTTTAATGAATAAATCAGTTGCCGATTAGTTTTATGTCAACAAGTTCATTTCGACTCACCTAATATGTCCTCATAGGCGTTCTCCTCTAAAGTGCTTTTTGAATTGGGTCGACTGTGTGGGTCTGTGGTCAGTGCGCCGTTCTCTGTGGGAGAGGACGGATGCGAAGACGGCAGGCTGGCAGCGTCCTCTGACTCGCACGACTCCCTGGACAAACGTTCAGACAAGTTAAGCGGACCGAGAAGCATAAATTTAAAAAATGACAAAAGGAAAAGTCTTGAAGGAAGTAGGTGTTAAAACAAAAAGGGGACAGAGGAAAAACACTGCCGGTATAAAAACAGTCCAGATGTGTAGTTCAAATTCCAAACAGGTGGTCGAATAACTCCAAAACCTTAAAACTGAAGAGCACCAATAGGACAAGAGACACTGATTCCCAATGAGGTTCTAGAAAAGCAACCAGTAAACATGAGATATCTAAGTTTTGGGACAGTTGAGTGAGAGGATTTACTGTATGGTCACAACACAACATCAGCAGCATGTGGTTTTAAGGCCTGGCCTGAAATTGCTGGAACCACAGGAATGTTAAACAGAGTCCAAGGGATGAACATTTGAGGATTTCACATAGGAACAATCTGGTGAGGCAACACCCTCACACATAAAAAAGAGAGTACATCTGATTCAAAAGTTAAAAACTAAAAGTAAAAATGAGACAAAGGTCAGATTCACTGAATATAGATTGGAGTTTAACTGTTGCTAGTCCGTATGAGTTTTAAAGTGAAAACGCTCCATCTACATGTTGCCAAATCTTTGTTTTATAGAGCATCACAAAGTTCTGGAACGCATCTGACATGTTTAATGTTCTGCAAACCAAAACAAATCAGCCACCGTCAGCATGAGCAGCTACCCGAGGGTGCAGTGAAGAGGCATGCCTTAGCTGTGAGAATACAGGAAGCAAACCCAAACCTCACCTGTCGTGGATTCTCGCAGGGGTGCTCCCCTCGCTCTTTGCCGTCCGCGTGGCACTGGGCGCGGGGGTCAAGGGCAGGGGCGGCGGAGATTCGGAGGATCTGTCTGGAGGTAGTCCATTGGTTGGCAAAACGTCCTTTTGGTCCCTTTTGGCGTCGTACTCAAAAGTGCGTTTGGGTTTGGGTAAGGGGTTGATTTGTGTGCCCGCTGAGGTCTGTTGGCTCGGCGGTTCTGGGCTCTCTGACCTGGTCGAACTCACGCTAAACCTTTTTCTGAGTTTGGAGAGCTTTTCCAAGGCTGAAACGGTATCGGGTTCGGTGGCCACCGAGCAAATGCTGCTGCGCTTGCTGGCGCACGTGCTGTCCAGGTCGTCGCCTATCACGAACGACTTCTGTCTCATCTTGTCCGGAGCATAGCAGTTACTCAGGTAGCGGGGAGGTGGGGGGCTGGGGTTCTCCTTCAGCGCTTGCTCTATCTTTTGTATCCTGTTGAGGACTGCTGACGTCTCCTTGCGAGCGGACAGGGTTCGCACAAATGCTCCCGAGGACTCGGCCTTGACTTTCCGTTTCTGGAAGCGGCCGAGGCCGTCTTTTTCTGGAACGCCCTCCTCATTGTCCGTCCCTGTGAAGGAGCATTCGGAGAACGCCGTGCTCATCCTGCGCGTACTCTTGAAATCAAAAGTCTTCTCGCTGCAAGGAGACGACAGCAGACTTGGGCAGCCCTCGCTACCCCCCACACAATCCCCTCCTCTTTTGTCCAGACACAAACTCATCCTAGGCAGAGACACTCTCCTGCACTCCCATTCTGAGATCTTTTTGCGGATTGTGGTGGGGGGGACGCCTACTCCCGAGTGAGTAAGTGAGAGGGTGCGCTTGTGGCCTTGGTTAGAAGAAGGTCCCAGTGAGACTGTGCTCCAGCTCAAAGGCCGACCATTGAGTCCTTCTCCTGCGTGGAGATCCCCTTGGTTCTCCTTTTGTTCCTTCTGCTCCTGACAGGACTTGGTTTGAGCTGGGGGCTTGTAGATCGAGAGCCTGTTGTCCAGGCAGCTGATGCTCTTGGACTTGGTGAGAGGGTCGGTGTCACCTGTGAGAGAYGCACCACTGCACAGGCTAGCTGTCTTGCCGCTCCATCCAGAGCGTAGCAGGAACCGGCCGTCGGTCCTGGCGTACTTGCTTTGCTTGCCAGAGTTCTCGGCGTCGCTGAGGAGGAGCTGCTGGCTCTGGACCCGGCTGGCAGAGACCACCGGGCACGGGGAAGTGGACTGAGACCTAAAAAAAAGAGGAAGGTGTGAATGAGTGTAAAAACTTACAAGTCATCTGAAAGATTGTTAGAAAAAAAACAGACGAGCTGTAGGAGTTGCCAACAGGTCCGTTCAACCTTGAAGCCAGAGAAGTAACAAACTTAATGTGAAACAGATGGGACAACACGGTAATGAATAATCTGACACTTTTAAATTCACTTCCAGGATCAAAAGCAGAATTAGAACTCGAGCCTCGTGCTTTAAAACGACCACAGGAAAGAATTCGGCTTTTGGCAGCAAGAGATTAGTAAAAAAATGGCCAAAAGAAATACAGTCAACATTAAAAACGCCACTGTGGATTTTTCCAGATAATCAAAAGACCGTTGAAGAGCTTCGCAGCAGACCTCACACAGAAACACACGCTCAATAAAGTGCTCTTACCTGCAAACGCCACGCAGCTCCTCTCAGGTTCTCACAGGTTTTTCTGGTCCCTGCAGCTAATTGATTCTATATCCACTACCGCCGTCTGGTTCTCACACAAGTTTTCTCATGATGCCCACCTTCCTGAACTCTTCCAAAGAGAAGCAATACTTCCACTCAAGACAGACGACACCCTAACACTCATAGTCTCCCAGAAAGCTTCTCGTTTATTTGGACATTGACTAATCATTGTGAAAGTGTAGAGCTGGCAGATCTGATGTCACAGTCTCGGCTGGAGTAACGACTTATGGGAGGAGAAAGCTGAAGGCTGTGGATTGTGTTCCAACAACGCAGATCGGGGCAGATCTGGCTTCACACCTACCTGCCCTTCCCTGATTTCACTTGTTTCTCCCCGGGTTGGAGAGAATTTCACAAGGACTGGGTGCTTGCAAGCCCCAAGCGCCTTGGATGAATCATATCTCATTTCCCTTTGAGGAGTCTGAGAATAAGATGGCAGGAAATGTCTGTCTGCACATTAACTTAAAACACACACCTGCCTGGTGATGTAATTAATCTGACACCTGAACTGAACCTTTTTTGTGTTTTGGTTATTAAAGACCAAAAATCAAYGTTTCACATGGTCCTTTTACTATTTAGCCCGGAAATTTTTGATGTTGCTATCGAGCAAAAACTTCTCACATCCCACCTGCAGAACACGACACTAAAAGGCTTAGATTCTACAATTTAGCATTTATTAGCAACAAATCACTCTTTCTAAATCTTTTATAACAGAAGACATCGCAATGCTTTACTGTGTCCAATATCTGAAAATAATTGATGAAACAGAAATTATACGTTTATTCAAAAATTAGATCCAATCTGACATCTTCTGTTTCAAATATCTATCTTCATGCCATTATACTCTCAACCATGTCATACTGTTTACCTGTTTGGTCTCTTACAACAAATGAAATCTTAGAACCCATAGTTAGGCTCTACAACAGGGCCTACAAAATTCATAAAAAACTTCCTGGTTGGACTCATCACTGTACAGTTCTTTCATTGTCTGATGCCTTGACTTTTCAGAATTATGTTTTGTATAGTGGTATTAATTTATATTTTCAGATCTTCCAAGGTGCCAGTTATGGAACTCTCTGTGCATTGCTGCCCAAATCAAATTCTGGAAGTGGTCATTCAACTAGATCTGTTGCAAAAGAACAACAGATATTACTAACTTTTAAAAACGGTTACGGCCAGAGGTCTTTCTTCTATGTTTATACTAAAGCATGGAGTGACGTTCCTCAAAACATAAAGTCCATTTCAAAACTACAGCCCTTTAAGAAGAATCTTGTCTGCCATCTGCTGGACACTTTTTGTTGTGCTCATATTTAGACGTCCTATTTTGCAAATGCTGCCTTTTTGAGATTTGGTATGCTTGTTTGTCTTTGTGTCTATGGTGTATAATGATGTGATTGTGATGCTGTATTTCTGAGTGTTTTATGTGCTGCAGAACAGGAACCTGCTGTAAAACAGCAATTATGCTGAGTCAGGCTTGATTTTTAYTCATCTTTTCCTATTAAATAAATAAATCAAATCAATTTATTCTCTGATTAGATATTTTACAGAAACTAGTTACTTATTGTCATAAATTATTTGTTTATATATCTGCTTCCACTTGACAAGTGCACTCATAAGTAGTTGTCATTACATTTATATTTATCTGTTTTAATTTTAGTGTCTTTTTCCTGTTTTGGAGGGGATCTAGAAGCAATAACAGAAGAAGCCAGACAAGTTGTAGTGTCACTAGAAAGAAATATGGCTGCCTGGGGAGTGTCTTCAGAATGTCTGACTGCCAGGACACAACGCTCCAGGAGATCTATTTGATTTTCAAAAAGCTGGATTTTTTTTGAGCATGCACCTCATGAAAAAATATAGAATTAGTTGTATGTAAAACTACAYATATTACACCAAATTATTATGATTGTTTCATATTGTCAAGACCTTAAATAAAGTTCAAAAGAGTCTATTAACTCTTTTAAGTCGGAAGCAGTGCAGAAAATATTACAACTTTTATTACATAAATAAGAAGCACGAGAATGCCAGRGGACAAAGACTTTCTGGAGAGAAGCGAGAGAAGGAATGGCACGAAACAGAGAAAAGAAAGAATCTCCCTGTTGTTGTCATGAGCCCTTTGTGTCCGAGTTTGCTTTCTTCCTGTAGGCGTTTTCCACCTCATTTCTTCTCACTTGTGGCTAAGCCACTGACTTTGTAACTCACCAGTCCGTCTTTTCCTGAACCTTTTATTGAGTGTGTCCTTGTGTGTTTTTTTTCTTTTCTTTGCAATCGTTTGTGAAACTTTAAACTCCTGCTTTTGCTGTTTTTGTCCATAATGGTTAGTTTCATAAAAGTCGTTTAAGGTAACGCTCTCTGCTTTGTGTTCGGATTCACTTCTCTAAGCTGAAAAAAAAAAAAACCACCACATTTGGCAATAAATGTGATCCAATAGAAATACAGTAAGTTGGGTGTGTGAAATACCTCAAAACTGTTCTAAAATAAACCCATTAAATAATCAAACTGCGTTGTTTCTGTCAGTTATTTTAGATGATTGACAGGATTTCGGGGTCGCTGTTAGAAATTCTGGCAAATCAAACATTTTTTGGCTTCATGGGAAAACTCTGAACAAAACTTTGGCCGGTGAATTTAACTACTGCAGTAAATCGTGTTCTCTGAAGACCTGATGCTTTGGTAACAAGCAGAACAAACAGAAACACAATCCCACTAACGGTGAGGTTTTTTTAAGGCAATCACTGAGGTGATATTTTACATCTTCTTTGTTTACCTATCACAAAAAATGTAATATCATCCCAACGTTTTTGTTGAGTCTGAGAAACACCAACGATAAAATGGTAAATTAGTACAAACAAGTTGATTCCCAAAGAGCTATCAGCTGAAAACCTGGCACCCAGCAGATTATCAGCTGAGGAGTGATTCATCTCCCAGTTCCTGTGACAGGTCTTTCTCCTGTTTCTTCCAGACATGACTTCACTCTTAATCTACTGTAGATYGGTTTTAAACCTGACATTCTTTTCTTTTATCCTCCACGTATCCACTTTTCTCATTRATTAAGCAGCACAGTAAGCTGTCAAGTTCCGGTATAAGGACTGAACAAAAAACGAAAAACACAAAATCAGCCAATATCCAAAAAAATCACAAGTTTCAGAAATCCTGGCTCCTGGGAGGCAAACAATAACAAAATGAGGAATGACTCAAAAATGTTGGACAGTTGTGTTACTGATACATCCTTAAACCAAATTTACAGGCAAGCTTTTACCTGCTGTTTTTGCAAAACTTCACTCCCTGATAGATTTCAGCCACAACACGGCCTCACTTTGCAAGACATTATTTTTAATATTGTAAAACAAAATGTGAACGGTCCATGGAGTCCTCGCAATCAGACACCCATATGGTTATATAAAATATGTGCTGATTTATTTATTTCTTTTTTTTCCTCCTATTTTCTTTGGATTCTTAGTGATGTAGCTCAAGCTTGTAAAAACAATCCCAGTGCTGTCAGCTTTCAGCTGGGCTGACCACACATGCTGTATCGTACAAAGAGCCGAATGTCCGTCACAACCTTTGCCTTTGGCTTTCACTCGGGCTTCCAGGACTTGCTAACCACAAGCCACATCCCGTTCCCAACCCAGATGGAGAGCGCAGAAAGCTTACAAAAGCAGCTACTGCTGCAGTTCAGAACCAACCCACTGCCTGCCACTTTTTCATTTCTTTATTATCGTTCAGCACATATCTGAGGGCTTTGGAGGCTTCGGCATGAAGAGACTGTGTGAAGTTTATCACATTAATGGTATCTATCAGTCAACCACTATGTTGTCTGTTGCCCAAACATCTCTCTGGATTCCTTTTAAGCATTAACTGAACTAGATACCACATAGCAGTAGCATAGATGACCCCTGCATGCACGCAAAGCACCAATGCACCAGAACTCAACAGAGATTTATTGCTTTTGGTCGGGGTCTGGAGGGGGTAGGTGGTGCTCACTGGTAGGCCCGATGGATAGCCCTTCATCAGAGCTAAACAACAAATAAATAAATAAATAAATAAATAAATAAATA